AAAATAATCATTGCCAAATCTAATGTCATAAGCTTGTTCCTATGTCTTCTTATAAGAGTTTTATGGTTTCAGCTCTTAAATCTAAATTTTTTAAGTTAATTTTTATATATCTTATGAGGTAAGGTAAAGATCTTATTTTAACTTTAAATTTTATTATCTTTTTTTTTTTTTTGGTACCCGGGATTGAACTCGGGTCCTTGTGCTTGCGCAGCAGGTGGCGAAACCACTGAGCTAAATCCCCAGCCCTTAGTATCATATTTTAAAATAATTCAACTATTAATTTAACTTTTAAGAGCCTTATTAAGTGATTTCCTAAGTTTATCTAGCACTTGGTGTACTAACATACTTCTCACAATCTCCATAGCAAATTATTTGCAAAACAATTCTTAGCCAAAAACTGCATCAACAGATTCCTCTAGGAACTGTCCATAGAACTTTCAGGAAGCATGGGAATTTCTCTACCAAGTCCAAATAGTGGTCACCAGCAACATGTAGTCTTGAGCAGAAAAAATGTAGCCAGTGTGATGGAGAGATTAGATATTGAATTTTATTTAATTACAATTAATTCAACCTGGGTGTGGTGGCACGTGCCTATAATCCCAACACTCCGGAGGCTAAGGCAGGAGAATCACTGGAGTTAAAGGCCAGCCTAGGCTACAAAATGAATTCAAGACCAGCTTAACATACATAGTGAGACACTGCCTGAAAAAATTTTTTTAATTTAAATTTAAATAACTTTATATGGCTAATGGCTACCATACTGGAGAGACCAATGTCTAGATTCTCTGTTTTTTGCAGAAAGTAAAATATTTCATGCAAAAGCCTTTAAGACCCTCAGATTGCTACTATATTCTTAGCATAAGGTTAAATATATTAAGGTTAGACATAAGAAATGTTACATGAAAATGTCCTTGAATTTCTTGTAGAATTCCTATTAAATCACATTTGACCATCATCTCTGTTCCACCTATAAACGCCCCCTTGGAGTCCTCTTATAGCCTGTGTCTTTCACATTTCTTTAGTCTTTTGGTGACATGGCATGCTTCTTTTTAACAAAGAGTAACTCCTTACAGTATTTTCTTTCCCTTCTTTCTTGAGAAGAAACTCAGGGCAAAGAAGAATACTTTTTTATGCATACTAACAGTTCTTCAACTTTGTTCTCTAATACAATCATTTTTTCCTCTTCCTTCTCCAGCCACATTCCTCCAAATTGTATGATTTTGGCTCCTTTACTGGGATTGTGTGGGATCGACTGCTCTTACTTCCTTTTGGAGCAGTAGCCAGCCAGACTTAGACTAAAGTGGCAATGTTTACCCCAGCTGCACAGATACTGCACACATTGTTATGTCCATGAGGCCTGGGGTCTCAGGGTCCCCAGGCTTACCCTCCCTGGGGCTGTATCTCTCTCTGATGTAGAAAGAGGAAGAAGAGAGAGTCAGAGAAGATCAGCAAAAACTTTACTGCAGGTATTGCAAGAAGCCCTAAAAAGCCACTCAGGGGGAAGAGTGGGGTGCTCAGAGTTGAGCAGGGTCAGCAACTGTTCTTAATAGAGTTAGGGTGCCATCCCCACCCCTTCAAGGGTCACTACTTGATTGTTTATTAAACTTGCTAGGGGCCAAGAAACTTTGTTTGTTTGTTTAGGGAAAAATAGGTAACCTACTAAAGAGAGGCTTAGGAGAAACAATGTAGCTATACAGATGGGGGTGTCAAAACCCCAGAGCTATTTACTGAGATACAGAGTCCTCTTAAAGAGGCCTAGTCCCTAATCTAATCCTACCTAAGAATCCCACTGTCCCTACAACATAAAACAAGGGAACTCATTCGCTTTCTACAACAGTTTAATGTCCCTCAAGGGCCTCCATTCCCTTTGGTATGGTAGCTGTGGCCAGGTCAGGGGAAGTTTATGTAAACTTGCCAGTAAATGGTATCTCAGAAAGACAGCCTCTTTAATAAATGGTGCTGGAAAAACTGGGTTTCAACTTGCCAAAGATTAAAACTAGACCTATATCTCTCACCGTGCACTAAACTAAAATCGAAAGGAATCAAAAGACCTAAATATTAAAACAGAAACACTAAACTGGCTGGAAGAGAGGTTAGGTAGAACTCTTGAAGACATTGGTGTAGGAAAAGACTTCATGAACAAAACCTCAGTCACACGTGAACTAGCACAAAGAATCAACAAGTGGGATCTCATCTTATTAAAAAGCTTCTGAGGCCAGGGATGTAGCTCAGAGGTTCCACCGCCTACCCTGAAAGCACAAGGTCCCAAGTTTGATCCCCAGTACCAAAGAAAAGAATTAAAAGAATCATACCACACCAATACATGCACACTCATGTTTATAGAGGCAGTTTGTAATAGCTAAAACTTGGAAACAGCCCAATTGCCCATCAACTGGTGACTGGATAAAGAAGATGTGGGAGTTTTTTAATAAAATGGAGTAATATTTGGTCATGAAGAGTGAGAAACTACAGACATTTATAGCTAAATGGATGCACATTGAGGCCATACTCTTTTTTTTTTTTTGAGGCCATACTCTTAAGTGAAATAAATAGGACACATATTGTAAATACTGAATAGTTTCTCTGGTGTGAGAAACTGAAAGTGTAAATAAGAATCAAAATGTATAATAGATAATGTGAAACAGGAAGAAAAGGTCCAAGGGGGAAGGGGGAAGGGAAAGGAATAAATATGAGAAAAGGAAAAAACGGAAACAAAGTCTTTGTAAATATGGAAGGGTGGAGAAGGTGAAGGGAGGGCAGGAGAATGGGGAAAAAATAAGAACCAAGATACATCATGTAAAGGTACAAGATCCCAATGTTGAATGTCATCATATTGTATACCTAAAATGTACCAATAAAATTAATGGGAAAAAAAGGAATCTCAGCCTCATCAGCACGCAGTTCACCTCAGTCAGCTCAGTCTCTTCCTGGTGAACATTCAGTACCCAACGTCTCCTCTGTCTACACAGCAGGAAGAGCAGTTCCCTCCCTGCTGAGCATCGCTGTGAGTGTAACCTTATTTGGAAATAGGGTGTTGGCAGACATCTCTTCTCCAAGAGCCTCTGCTTGCTATAGACTAAATGTGTGCACACACACGGTCAGAGTTAAGTCTAATACCAATGTGATGATGTTTGGAGGTGGAGGCTTTGGAAAGTGATTAGGTCATGAGAGTAAAGCCCTCATGAGTGGGATTAGCGCCTGTAAAACAGAAGTCCCAGCCAGGCCTGGTGGTGCACGCCTGTAATCTCAGCACTGAGGCTAAGGCAGGAGGATCACTACGAGTTCAAGGCCAGACTGGGCTACATAACAAGTCTCTGTCTCAAAAAAAAAAAAAAAGATTTCATAGTAATAATGGAGCCCTTAACCCACAGAACACGCATGTGTTAATCAGGCAACTAACCAGCTACTAACGTGGTCACTGCGACAGGGACAGCCCAGGCACAAAGGGAGCGAAGCATCTTCAACAGGTGACCCCTAGGGCCACCCGCATCTGGAGCTGCGCTGCCTGGGCACCTGGGCACGAACGCGACATGAGTCCAGACAGTGTGGCCCTCGCTCCCCACTCTGCCAGACTGCACTCCCCCAGCCACCCTCTGATGGTCCCCTCAAAGTCCATCTGTGTCCAAAGGCGACGCCCCTAGGAACTCCAGCCCCACCAGGTCCTTCCAGGCTGCTCCAGGAGTCGAAAACAGCAACAGCGCAGGAGCATGCATGCGAGAGAACATCGGCCAAGACTATCACGTGACCATATCACGCGATAACAGTGGAGCTGGATGGAGAGATCACATTTGACAGCAGGAAGAGATGAAAATGGGTGGACAAAGGAAGCCTCAACCAGGTGAAGCAGGCTGAGAAGCTGAAGTGTAATTTAATAATAAAGACCGACTACTCAGGAGGTTGAAGCAGAGGATCGCCAGGAGTTCGAGGCCCCCCTGGGCTACCCACCGAGACCCTGACTCAAAAACCCAAAATAAATAAATAAATAAAACAACCCACTGAAAAGTATTTGGCAGCGCATAAGCTGGACTGTCCAATACAGTAGCCACAGTTGGATGTGGTGGTGTGCTCCTGTAATCCCAACACTCAGGAGACTGAGGCAGGAGGATTGCTATGAGTTAGAGGCCACCCTGGGCTACATAGCGACTGAAAAAAACCTAAATAAATAAATAAAAGGATTTGGCAAAGTATAAGCTGCTGTTCAATACAGTAGCCACTAACTATGCAGCCACTTAAATTTAAATTTGAATTCGAATTCATTACAGTTAAATAAAATTTCAACTTGGTTCCTGGTCACACTGACCACATTTCAGATGTTCAAGAGCTCTGTGTGGCCGCTGTATAGGGCAGCAGCAGTGGTGAGTTCTACGGGGCAGTGCTGCTGTGGAGAACGTGCCCTCCTGACTACACACATTTTCTCACTTTGAGCTGTCAGCACCAGAGAAGGGTCCAGCTGTAAAGGTCAGTCACTTCCTGCCTTCCAAGACAAATTCAGTTACATTTGTTAGTCAAATTTCTTTACATTTCACAGTCCAGAGAGAAACTGAAGCCAGCTCATCCTGGTCTGTGACAGCTGAATATTAAATTTCCAGGATTTTGTAAGCCAGTTGCTAAACATAACCATTCTTCAATATTAAATTATATAAACTTACAGGTAAGCCAGGTGTGGTGGTGCATATCTGTAATCCCAGCACTCTGGTAGGCTGAGGCAGGAGGATCACAAGTTCAAGCCCAGCCTGGGCAACTTAGCAACTTAGCGAGACCTTGTCTCAAAATAAAAATAAAAGTAAGAAAGGGCTGGGGATGTATCTCAGTGTGAAGGCCCTGGATTCAATCTCCAGTACCACAAAGATTTTAATAGTTTATAATAGGGGCCAGGGATTTAGCTCAGTGGTTCCACCACCTGCCTTGAAAGCACAAGGTCCCGAGTTCGATCCCCAGTAACCCCCCAAAAATGTTTATAATTTAATAAACTATATTACAAACAAAAGGAAAATACACAAGCCTATTACATATCAGTTCTTTTTCTACATTTTACTGCTATCTCTGCAGCTGGGGTTATTTATACCTGTCCTATCTATCAGTTGAAATGCTAGCTCTATATAATGCTGTGCTACCACACATCTCCTCCCAACCCCACCCTGGTGGCTTCAAATTGGCCATGGTGGGATTTCAGACACCACAAAAACTTCTCAATCTTAACAGCAGAACTGTTGGGTACTTTTCATTTTTTGGTCATTATGCCTAATGCTGCTCCAAACATTAAGGGACAGGTTTTCATGTGGACCAAAATTTCCATTTCTTTTGGGTATGCACCTAAAAGTGGAATTGCTGTGTTGAAAGACAAGTCTCTATTTAACCTTTTGGGAATGCTAGATTACTGTGCAAAGCAGCTATCCACCAACAGTGCCTGAGGGCTCCTATTTCCCCACATCTTCACCAGCACTTGTTATTATCTTTCTTTTCATGATAGCAATGCTGGCGGATATGAAGGAGTATTTCATTGTGGTTTTCATTTGGCTTCTTGGTTTTCCTCTGCTGAGCCTCCAGGCTGTGTTACTAGGAAAGAAAGGACATAACGGAGGACGTGGGCTTGAGGGAGAAGGTTGGCTGGAGCAGAAGCTTGCACAGAGCACGTCTGGAGCTGAAATAAGAGAGGGGCGAGGAGAGAGGCAGGAGGCAACGTGCCAAAGAAATTCTGAAAGGAGGGGCCAGGGATTTAGTTCAGTGGTTCTGCTGCCTGCCTAGAAAGCAGAAGGACCCAAGTTCCATCCCTGGTACCAAAAAAAAAAATTCAGAAAGGGAAGGTGCCATATTGGGCTCATGAAGGTCACTGGGCCTAGTCAGAGTCTTGCAAGATGGCAGGAGTTGGACAGCAGCAGAAGTTGGAGGACACTCTGGGCAAGGGGTTGATGTGGTCACAGCTGTATGCAACATGGCACAATGTGGCAGAGGACAGTGAGGAGCAGACAGGGCCTCGCCAGAGGGAGACTCAGGAAATGAGAGGTGCAAGGTGAGAGATGCCAGGCACCAAGCGGCCTCCACGATGGGCCTTGGACTAGGGAAGCCAAGGTGCCAGCCACGGCTGCGATGACAGCATGAAAGTCCAGCCACACCCAGGAACCCAGCCACCCACTCAGAGGGCGCCAGGCTCCCCAGGGCAGGCACCTCCCTGGACCCTGAGCAGCCAAGGACAGCTAAGCCCCATGGCCACCTTCAGCCGATGCCAGAGGTGACCAGGAAACAGGTTTTTATTCTTTTAATGGAAGAACAACAGCTCGTATTCACTGGGTCAGGCACCATCTTAAGTCTTCTACATGGTGGTTTTTGTTTTGGGGGGTTTTTTTCGTACCAGGGATCAAATTTGGGTCCTTGTGCTTGCGAGGCAGGCGGTGGAACCACTGAGCTAAATCCCCAGCCCTTAAGTCATTTAATTCTTGCAACAAACCCGCGAGACTGGTACCACTATTCCACTCATTTACAGATGAGGAAATTGAAGGCCAAGGATATTAAGTAACAGAGCCATGAATGGTGGCAACTCTGGGAGGCTGAGACAGGAGGATCACAAGTTCAAATCCTGCTTGGAGAATTTAACAAAATAAAATGTATAAAGGGCTGGGGCTGTAGCTCAGGGGGAAGGTCCTGGGTTCAATCCCCAGGACCACCAAAATACATATAAATACATGGAGTAGCTCACCCCGGGTGGCGGGGCCCATGGAACACATTCGTAATCTCCAAGCTGCTCTGGTCCCTCTTCCGGAAAGGTGAGGAAGAGGGCACTGGATAAAAAAGAAATGAGGGCCCAGATATGAACCGGATCCACTAGGTTTCTAGTTCGTTCCCAACCTGCTTTCCTAGGACTCAGGATGCTGCCCCATCCCTCATGTCCCTCCCCACTCCCGAAGGGTCTGGACTTGGGAAGGTTGTGTTATTGCTGACCCAGCGTCCTCTCCAACCTCCAACCCCATGTGACTCCCTCTCGCTCAGCACGCCCCAATTTTCCTTTGGGGAACTCTAGTCTTCCTGGCGGCAAAGGCCAGAGCTTGGGGTAAGAGGGACCCAAGCCATAGCTCCAGGAGAGTCACTGACTGGCCAAAACCACTCATGAGACTTCTACCCATTCACCAATGGGGTGGCTTCTGAGGTGGGCAATAAGGAAGCCCTACACCAATCAGCACTAGGCCTGTTCTTGGTCTGGGAGATTTCGATGCGCACCTGAGGGTGGGATAGAGGAGGCAAATGGCTCGGTTTTGTATCTGAGAGGAGGACACGCTCACTCTGTTCTGAGTTTGGCCAAGGAAGCTGTCGCCCCAAGTCAGATCAGCAGTCCTGATGCTGTTGTTGGGCCTCTGGCCCCACTGGACCAGCCCTCCCCTCTGGGTTTCCTGGGAAGCAAACCCACCAGCCTTGCCCAATGCTTGACCTGGTCGGTTGCATGGGTTCTGGGCCCAGCCCTGCCCACGGTGCTGCGGGCTCCAGGCACTGTGTCGGGCTCCTTTATTCCACCACATCGTGTCTCGTTTTCTTGTCTGCAATTACAGCATTTACTTTGAATCCAGATGGTCTCCCTCTTTTTCTCTCGCCTGCTTTTCAAATACATCTGCAGTGCGATGCTGCCTGACCAACTGCCCTTGATTTTGTGTGTTCATTTGTTGAAGTATTTTTGTACATTGGCAGCCAAGAAGCCTTGGGCTCTGGATCGTTATGTTCTTCTGTTTTCCCTTTTCAAGGACTCAGTTAAAACCTGTAGTGCAGCCAGACAGGCAGGGTTTTCAGGCATTCTTCTGAAGGTCGAGCCTTCTCTTCCGTACCCCTTTACACCTGGCATCTCCTAAAAGCAAGAAACTCACGGCCCCCCCGCCCACACACACACACACAAGACAGCAAACCCGTCAGACCAGAGCACTCGGCTGTGGAGATTCTTCCAAAAGTGCAATAGCACCAAACAGCAAAAGCTGGCACCCTAATTTGCAAAACATAGGAAGGAAAACACAAGCTCTCCCATCCTTAAACCTCATGGAAGCCAGGCGCAATGGCACACACCTAACCACAGCTACTCGGGAGGCTGAGGCAAGAGAACAGCAAGCACAAGCCAGATGGAATAATTTAGCAAGACTCTCTCAAAGTAAAAAGGGCTGGGGATGTAGCTCAGTGACAGAGTGCTTCCCCACATGCACAGGGCCTGGAGTTCAATCTCTCATGGGTGTGTGGAGAAGCGCTGGTGTAATTCCAACACTCAGAAGGCTGAGGCAGGAGGACTGCAGCAAGTTCGAGGCCAGTCTGAACTTCACAGCAAGGTGCTCTCAAAAAAATAAATAAAAGAAGTGCTGGTGTAGACAGGAAGCATTTCCATTTAAGTCACTGAGAGTCTACGCCCACACCACCCTGAACGCAGCCGCTGTCCTCTCTTCAGTGAGAAGGGATAGTTGATGGTGATGAGTGCTTTGATCTGCTGATTCCTTTATCAGATTTCTTTCTTTAATTCTACTTGTGGAGAAAATCGTTTGCTAGGATCGCTAATGCTTCCTGCTTGTCCCGGCTTACACCTATTAGACAACACACCCTGGGGAAAAGTGGACAGCAGGCGGGTTTCCAAGAGCAACTCTGCAGTCAGGCAAGAGCTCGGGGTCTTTACAGGGAAGAGACACGGGGAAGAGGTCTCAGATTCTTCTTCCGGTGTATATTGATTCCTCGAACATCTGTACCATTTTAAAGTTGTGCGTGAAAGTTGCAAACTGGTACAGTCTCACTCAGGCCTCACAAAAGTCCCTTCAGGCTTAGCTGAGGACATCTGCATATTTAATCTTTCAGGGAAAGATAGAACAGGAGCTCGGGGGAGGACAGGATGGCTTTTAGGTTTGCTTTTATCTTGTGCTGATTTTAGTCTCATTAGTATAGTACTTCGTGACTGTCCAGTCTGTGGGGGGGGTGAACTATCAGAGAAGTCTAAGTGCTGAGAAGTTTAACCCTTTTGTCCCCACCACAACTCCAGCCTGTACACATGGCAAACGTTGGAACACACTCCTATAATCCCAACTAGTCAGGAGGCTGAGGCAGGAGATGATGTTCCAGGATTCTCTGATTAATGTCACCAACATTTCATTTCCATTAGAGACTCTACAAAGAATTTTGATTCCAACCTTCCATAAAGGATGCTAAACCTTGAAGTGTATTATTTTTATCATCCTTAATCACCCTACCTTTAAAATAGCTAACGTGGTGGTGCATGCCTATAATCTCAGCACTTGGAAGGCTGAGGCAGGAGGATTAACACACACTCAGGGCCAGCCTAGGCTACATAGTGAGTTTAAGACCACCCTGTAATACAAAGAGAGACCCTGTATAAAATAAAATAAAGTAAATAGGTGCGTCAAGTCCAGTGCACACCCACACACCCAGAGCAGCCGCCTGGCCCACTCAGCCACACACCTTGCCAGCTGTTGCCCTGGCTCAATCAGGCAACAGCCACCTGAGGACAGCAAGGAAATGCAGTGCACCCTGGCCCTGTCCAAAATTTCACCTGGGACAATGAGCAGAGGTCTCAGGACTTTGAAAGCCAAAAAGCCCTCTCTTTTGTAAGGCGGCCCCCAACTGCAAGCAGACCAAAAAAAGGAAGAACAAAATAAAACAGACTTTGTCTTATTAACCTGGCACACACACCCAGTGATTGGTGGCTTAGCTGGCAGATTGCAAGGGCCTCGATGGGAGACTGAACGTGCAACAAGTGGCTGTCGCTATGGAAACAGCTCAGCTGAACCCTAAGAATGAAGGACCTCACAGCCTGGGAAATGTGGGAGGAGAGGAGATGTTGTTCTGAGGTTGACATGGAGGAGCAAATGGCTTTGCATCCTGGAGCCCCCAGGAGAAGTCATCTCCCAGGGTCACAAGACTGAAAGGGAAAAACTGCCCCCTGCTCCCTGGCTCCTGGACTCCAGCTGCTGGAACCTCAGCTGGCCCCTGGCACAGTTGGCCTTCAGCCTGCTGCCCATGGGGTCTCGGAAGAGCTTGACTCCTGCAAAGGCCTTGGCACCAGGGCTGGAAACCCTGCAGGAAACCTGAGGAAGCAACATTCATCTGCAACGAAAGGAAATGAGATGAGGGCTTTGGCTAATTCAGAGCTGCTGGGAGCTAGGGAGCTAAGTACGGGGGCTGATCTTTTTCCCAGGAAGTGGTCACGTTCAAGGACAGACTTTTAAAAAGAAAGCCTCCTTTTCTAGATGGGTGTGAGCACCACAAGGAGCCAGGGTCCTAGCCCAAGGGCTGGGGACTGAGGGCTAGCTTAATGGCATCTGCCTTGCTGGGGCCCTGTCATTCTGCCATAATTGGCTGGCAGTGATTTCAAGGCGCTCATTAAATGCCCCAGGCAGACACCTAAATGACACGGTCTAAACAGCATCCCCTCCAACACCAGGGCAGGCATTCTGCAAAAGAGGCCACAGCCCCTCGGGGCAGACTTGAAGGAGGTTCAAGAGTGCTATCTACTTTGGGTGACTACTGGATGCACAAATGAAGCTCCATACTTGGTGCTCTCAAAGTAATAGTAATAATAAGAAAGTTAAAGCTGGACATGGTGATGCATGCCAGCCCATCATCCCAGCACTCAGGAGGCTGAGGCAGGAGGATCACCAGAGTGCAAGGCCAGCCTTTACCCTGTGCAATGGCCCACATGGACCCTGGGATGACATGGAAAAGCACCAGCTGATTCACAAATGGGGTGGGACAGCAAAGGGGCCCTGCACAGGGAAAGAGGAACAGCATTGGCCGTCCTTGGTCCCAGGAAAGGCTGGGGTGGCCATGTCACCCCCACATGAGCCAAGGCGAGGGAGCAAGCTGACAACCTTCCATAGGCATCACCCACACCTCCTTCTAAGCCACCCAGAGGGAGAGCTATGTGCATTTTTCAGGATATGAGGGAAAGTCTTAGAAAAGCAGCATTAGTCTATCATCAGGAAAAACAGTGGCAGGCAGGCAAAGCCATCCGGGTGTCATGCTTTCCAGTGCTCTGGAAATCACTGCTTCCAGTCTTAGTCCTTCCAGTCGTGATAATAGCATCCTTTTGGCTGGGTGATTCAGTAACAAAATTTCATTCCTCGAAGTTCCAGAGGCTGAGGAGTCCACGGTTTGCCCCGGTCTCATAGACTATCTCCAAATGTCACCCTGTCACACGGCTCCAGCTTTTCGGTCACCCACTCAGGGCCAAGCCGAGTTGACCTTGTCTGAGCAGCTCTAGAGCCCTGGGCTTCTGGTTCCTGCTCCCGGAGGCCCGACTCCCCCGTCTCTGGGGGTAGGAGACCCTCCCCTTAGGGCAGCTGCAGGGTCCAAGGTGGGAGGACATCGTGAAAGCCTCATTTTGGTCATGGACACAATTTTCCCCCATGTGGCCCTTTGGGATGTCTGTTTCACTTCTCCAACAGCCCAGATCTTTAGGGAATGCTCGGTGGTTAGAGCTCTCATCTTCTACAAAGGGGATAATCCTGGGATGTTTTCAACCAGGGTCATTTGAGGTGCCTTCTAGACATCCATGTCCTCTTCCTCTCTCCCTCCCATCTCCTACAAACCTTGAACCTTCTTGACTCAGCCTGAGAAGTCTGCATTGTCACCTCACATGGAAATCCCATATGCTGGCACCTGCAGGGAAACCCGGGTGCCACCTCCTCAAGACATGGCCTCCCTTTGGGGAGAGGAAGGAGACATGGGCAGCTGTGCACCCTGTGGCCTGGCCACAGGGGCTCCACAGAGCACAAACAGGGAAAACCCGGGGTGAGCAGTTTCTCCAGCTCATGGCAAACCAGCTGTGACACTGTGATACCAATGGTCAGTGACCTAACTGGTCTCTCTGCATGTGGAGGCCTCCATAGATCCCCAGAAGTCCTTGGTTCTGAGTTTCCAGGCAGCAAAACACATGCAAGGTGTGGAGTGTGGTGTCCAGAGACTGCCCAGTGCCCTGGGTTCCTTCCCAGTTCTCTGCCCCTCAGCTGTCCGTCTATAGCCTTCAGAATATCCTTTACAATAACAGGTGAGCAGAGGTTTCCGAGTCCTGTGAGCCAGTCTAGCAAAATAACCATTCCTGAGGAAGGCACCGTGGGAAGCCAGTTGGCAGAAGTACAGGTCACAGCTTGGGGCTTTCGACTGGCAACCGAGGTGGGAACAGTCTTGTGGGGGATCCAGCAACCCAGGGCTTCTTGGAGTAGACAGTGTCAGAACTGAATCAGGACACCCAGGCAGGGAGTCCTGGGCAGAATCTGTAGAACTGATTTCGGGGCGTGTGGGGAAGGAGCTGGTTTCAGGGCGTGTAGGGAAGGAATGTTGAGTAAACAGAAAAAGGTCAAAAGAAACACTTGCGGGGGGGGGGGGGGGGATGCTGGTTGGTTGTTTGCTTGGTTTCCAGATTTCAGACACCCCTGGCTTAGATGTCCATGCTCTCCAAGCCTCATTTACCTGATCTGTGAGATGAGATCATTAGTTTCCCCTGCAAATAAGGAATCCCAACTGCACGGCTTTCTTCATGACAAGAAGCCTGGAATCAGGGCAAGCTCTAAATCCCGCCCACCAGGGCTCTGGCTCCATCCTCTGACCCCTCTCACTCTTCCTGCCAGGCCTGTGGATTTCCCGCCCTGGACAAACACTGCCACCCCCCAGGGAGGACCGCAGGGGGTTCCTGGGGGCTCAGGTTTCAATTAGAGAAGGAAACTTTCCCCAAAAGCCCTCTCCTCCCAGCCACTGTCCAGATGTGGAGCACATCAGGAGTACTGTTGGCGACCTCTCACCTTTGTGTCCACCAAAGGCCCTACCTGCTCAAGTAAGACATGGCCTCTGACACGCCCACTGCTTGACCTTGGTTTTTGTTTTGTTTTGTTGAGACAAGGTCTCTATGTAGTTCAGACTAGCCTTGTATTCACTACGTAGCCCAGGCTGGCCTCAAACTCATGAGGATCCTCCTGCCTCAGCCTCCAGGGTGCTAGAGTTACAGGCCTGGGCCTCCATGCACCGCACCTGTTTGACCTCGGGATGACCTTTCCTTGTGTGTTCTCCATGGAGGGTGCTGAGGGTGGATTTATTGGAACTGCATTGGCCAATATGGCAACCATTAGCCTCATAATTACTGCAATGGGGGTAGGGGTGTGCCAGGAATCAAACTCTGGCCTGCTGCTGGCAAGCACAAGGTCCTGAGCTCAATTCCTAGTACTGGAAAAAAAAGAAAAAGAAAAAGAAAAAAATAATACATCCACAGCAGTCTGTATGGTGTTCACAATGTAACAATTACTCAATGGATTTTAGCTACCCTGACCAGGGTTGCCTTTGGCCTAGAGCAGTGGTGGCGAACCTTTTAGAGACCAAGTGCCCAAACTGCAACCCAAAAACCACTCATTTATCACAAAGTGCCAACACTGCCCCGATTTGTGCTGTTATGTGACGCTCGGCTGCTGGGACGATGCCAACAGAGAGGGCTCTGTGTGCCCGCTTTGGCACACGTGCCATAGGTTTGGCACCACTGGCCTAGAAGATGACTTCAGCCCAGGAGTTTGAGGCCAGCCTGAGCAGCATGGACCCTGGCTCAAAAATAATAACAATAATAATAATGGCATCTGCATTGTGCTTTGACCCATGCCAGATCTCATAAGAATCAAGAGAAACACTGTAGGGATTACCTGGTTCCTGGGGGAACCACAGAGAAATGCAGGATGTGGTCACCTCTCCTTCCCATCCGGCTCTGCACTTCCTGTGGGGTCTCAGCCCTCTGACACCCTGACTCCAAGAGCTTCCTCAGCAGGCTAGGCTGAAGCCACGAGGTCTTCTCCCCCAGTGACCGCACAGTGACTGAGCCCTCCTGACCACTCCAGGTGATGAGCTCTCCCGACAAAACCCCATTGCAAGAGCTCAGGCTGTGCTGGGGAGATGCTCTGGGGGAGTGTGGATGTCATTGCTTTCATCTTCCTTCCCCTCCAAAGAGGAGGTATTTGATATTCCAAAGCAGGCCAATCTGTCAAACAAAATAATGAATGCTCATGGTTGGAAGCAGCACACCACACCAGAACATTCTGACTTCAAAGGCTAACTTCTCCTTCATTATCAAAGATTACTAAATATCAACACATTAGGCTGGAACGCACAGCTCGTTAATGCTGAATATAATTATATCAAGCTGTCCATGCTGGCTTCTCCACTGGGCTAAATCTGTTGTTTATCAAGATTTGTTGTAGGGAAGATATGTGTATACCTAGTGAGACAGAATGCCTAATGAGTGAGGAGTTTTCCTCCAAGGTGGTCCTTCTACCACCCAGTGTCCAGGCAGGCACCTCTGGAGTCACTTGATGTTCACGGAACAGGTAACAAAAGGCAGTAAGACCTAGCTAGGAAAAAGTCTGCACATAGACTTTGCTTAAGTGAAAAGTTAGCGGTTCTTCACTTCCGGATTCTAATATGTGTGAGCTCTGCATAAAACTGTAAGAAAAGTCCTCAATGTCTGAAGCAGGGTCAAATATCTTTCTGGCCATTACCTCAAACTTGGCCACAGTCATGCTTGCGTCCCCAAGCCAGAATCTGGAATTCCACTGAATGGTGGCATCATCTGGTGGACATAAGCGATACTGCAGCTCCCTTCTGAGTCCCTGTCATCCTCCTGTGGGGAATGTTAATTTCTTAATGGTGCTTGATCACTCAGGGATTATTGTAAACTATTGAAATAAGCCCTGTTCGGCACCTTCAATTAAGCTACAACTCTCCAAATTAGTAAGACACTTATAGGCTGCTATAAAATCTTATCAGCTGGAACAGCCTGAGGATTTCCATACTTTCTGATTGTTTAGTGTATGCAGATCTTATGAAACCTCAAAAGGTCATAAACTCCTTGAGATTAAGTCTTTCAATCCTTTTTTTTTTTTTTTTTTTTTGGTACTGGGGATTGAACTCAGGATCTTGCACTTTCAAGGCAGGTGACGGAACCACTGAGCTAAATCCCCAGCCTTTTCAATCCTTTCTTATACTTTACCCTTTTGCCGTCTTTGTGGGTTCTCAATAGGACTTACCGAAGACCAAATCATGTATACAACACATGAGTAAACTATACTAAAGAGAGCAGAATGTCCAGTTCAAAGTGTATAGCATTTACAACCAGTGTGGAGGCACAAGCCTGTAATCTCAGTACTTGGGAGGCTGAGGCAGGAGGATCGACACAAGTTCAAGGCCAGCCTGAACGACAAAAATGAAATCCTGTCTCAAAAAAAAGTGATAGAGATAGATAGATGATGAAATATTATTCAACCATAAAAAATAAGATCCTCCTATTTACAAAAACATGGATGAGCCTGAAAGACATCATGCTAAGTGAAATAATACAGACATGGAAAAACACTACACGATCTCATTTATACATGGAATCTAAAGACATTGGACTCAGAAGCAGAGAATAAGGAAGTGGTTGCCAGCTACTAGGAGTTAGGGAAAAAAAGGGAAGATGTTGCTCAAAGGGAGATATAAGATGTACAACGTGAAAACTGGCAGTAATAATTATGTTTGTGGTGGGGTGTGTGCTATAATCTCAGCACTCTAGAGGCTGAGGCAGGAGGACTGCAAGTTCAAGGCCAGCCAGGGTAATTTAGCAAGACCTTGCCTCAAAATAGAAAATAAATAGGGCTGGACTCACTCAGGAGTAGAGAGACCTTGCCTACCATGCAGAGGTCTTTGGTTCAATCCCCAATACTGCATTAAAGTAAAATAAATTTAAATTAAATTTAAACGTACTCATGGTTGGAGGGCTCCCTCCCCTTGAAGTCCAGCAAAGGAGCTGAGCATCTGAAATCTGACTTCCCCTCTGGGATCAAAGCCTCCCCGGATGCCCACCCCATCCGTGCACAATGACAACTTTGCCCATGTCCCCTCTGCCAGAATTTTGCCAGCAGATGCCATCAGCCCCTCCCCTTCCCTCTGCCCATGCCGGCCATGATGGGCAACTCCAAGATGGTCCCCACAGCCCCCACTCCCAGTATTCACTGCCTTTGTGGACCCTTCCCCTCAGGTAACTTGCTTCTCACCAATCATGAAACAGTTAATTCGGTACAAACTGAGCTCACTGTCTCACTAAGTCAAAAAATGAATTCATGGACAAAAGGAGGACATTAGGGAAGGATTTACTGGAAATATGAAGAAGGGAAACAGCTGTAACCAGGAGGGGACTCCATCCAAATGGAAGGCCTCGCCTCTCGTGCTTCCTTGGTCTTGGCTTTATATGGGTAAGCAGAGAGCAGGAACTTGTTTAAACCAGGTGGCTTTGTGGCATTAGGGACTGGAGAAAATTAACTATGTAGCTGGTCCAGTGGAAACTGAGTTCAAAGGCAACAGTTACTCTGCATTTCTTACTTGTTCCCACTCCACCCTGGTTAGGAGGAGCTGTCCACTAACTGAGCACACTCTCTCTGCCTAAGAACTTCTTCCTCGGAAGGAAGGTCCTTACCTCTCCATTCTTAGCTCAACTTAATCCATTTTTCTGTACTGACTGCCTACTGATAAGCTAACTGAGCTGTCTGCCACACTGTTACCCCAGCATATGGTGACACGGAGGGGTGTGATGCCCACAATGGAGTGGAAAGACCTTCTACCTCAAATTTTTCTAGAAGACGCTTGCTTTAAACGCAAGCTGCAGAGTAGGAGGACCCAGTGGGAGAGGGCGAGGGCAGAATCCAGCTGACAGCTAGCAAGAAGCCCAAGCTCCCAAGCCCTCAGCCTGGAAGATGCAACCCTGCCCGAGACCAGGTGAGGGTCCAAGAGGATCCCTCGGATGAGACACAAGGTCACGCCTAGATCCCTGACCCACAGAAATGCTGAGCAAATAACACCGTCTGTGCTATTTCGGGCCATTCTAAGCTCATAACAAATCCCCCGCCTTTGTGTTGTCTCAGGCTGAGGGAATTCTCCATCCTGGAGCAAGCTTGGCCCTAGCAGGCACTACTAGAGGAGCAGCCTCTCCACCTGCCTGGACTCAGAAAACTGAGGGTCTCGCTCCTGAGCATCCATGCGCTGCTGTTTTGAGCTGGATCCATACCACTGGCAGAAGAAATTTGCCCCCCAGAGGCTCCACCCATTGTCCCCCGGGGAAGCTTTTAAGTCCTGACCCCAAGACCCACTTCGCTGCTACAAATCTTCACCCTTCCTAGGGAAGGTGTCTTTGCACCAAAACTGAGCTGGCTGCAAAGGTGCTTGGCGCTTGCTGCTCTCAGTGTCCTGCCCTGGTCACTCTCGGGAAACTCCACACAAAGCTCTTCAAAACAGTTCTGACTTCGCAAGGTACAAGGAGCCTCTCACTTTCTTCATTTTGCTGCTGATTCTGCTCTTTGTTTCTTCATGTACTGATTCAGTATGTGTCCTGCCAGCATCCAGGACAGGTGTTTTGTTACAGCAACAGAAAACAGACTAAAATAATCTGGGTGTGGTGGCGCACACCTGTGATCCCAGCCCTGGGGAGGCTGAGGCAGGAGGATCGCTGTGAATTTAAGGCCATCCTGAACTACGTAACAAGACCCTGTCTCAAAAAAAAAAAATTAACAACAACAAAACAAATCCCTAATTACTGGGCTTGAGGGCTAAATGAAATAATGTAAGTCATACAGAAAGTAAGCTGGCTCAACAGAAATCTCTCACTAATTACTCTAGCCCTATGCTATCAAGTGTAGATGCCACCAGCCTCCTGTGACTATTTTACATCTAAATTTAAATGAATTAAAATTGAAATCCAGTTCCTCCATCTAACTGGCCACATTCTGAAGACCCAAAAGCCACCTGGGATGAGTGGCTATCGCATTAGATACTTCCAGCACCGCAGAAAGTTCTGATGGGAAATTTTGAAGACCTCAATGCCCAGGCTGCTCTCCAGACCAATTAAATAAGAATTGCTTGAGTGGGACCCTGCTATTAGATTTGTTTTGTTTTGTTTTGAGAGAGTCTCGCTATGTAGCCCAGGCTGGCCTTGAACTCATAGGGATCCTCCTGCCTCAGCCTCCCAAGTGCTGGGATTATAGACCTGCACCACCATGCTTGGTGAGATTTTGAGGTGTTTTGTTTTGGTTTAGTTTGGTTTTGGTTTTCTTTCAGACAAGATCATACTACATAATTCAGGCTGGCCTTAAACTCACCCATAGCCCATGCTGCCCTCGAACTCATGGTAATCCTCCTGTCTCAGCCTCCTGAGTGCTAGGATTATAGGCATGTGCTACCATGCCCAGCTTTCGATTCTGCATTTAAATGTTAGTCACTCAGGTTAGGAAGACTGAGCTATCTTCCTGGCCTGCAGAGCCAGCACGTGGGGCCGGGAGTGCACATGAAAAGGTTAGGGCCACATGAAGAACAAGAGAGGAGCATGAGGGCATTCATGTTTGTCAGCTTTCTATACTATAAAAACTGCCCAAGACAATCAACTTAAAAAGAGGAAAGGTTTGGTTAATGCTTTCCATCTGTTGTCAGCTGTCCCCATGGCTTTTGGGCCCAGGGGAAGGGACTGCATCATGGTGGGAAGCCTGTGGTGGGCCAAGCTGCTCACCTTGCGGCAGCCAGGAACTAAAAGACAGGACAAGGAAGGGGATGGGGGGGCAATGTCCCTTCAAGGGTATGACCCCAATGTCCCAGTGTCTTTCCACTAGGCCCCACCTCTTAAAGGCTCCACCTCAGAGGCTAGATACGGTGGCACATGCCTGTCATCCCAGCACTTAGGAGGCTGAGGCAGGAGAATCACCTCAGGTTCAAAGAAAGCCTGGGCTACATGGTGAGTTCAAGGCCAGCCTAAGCAACACTGTGAGACTCTGACTCAAAAAACAAAACAAAAGTGAGGCCGGGGATTTAGCTCAGTGGCACTGCACCCGCCTCACAAGCACCAGGTCCTGAGTTCGATCCCTAGTAGCAAAAAGAAAAGAAAAAGAAAAACTAGAAATCATCCTCACCAGGCATGGCGGCCCACACCTACATTCCCAGCTACTTGGAAGGCTAAGGTAGGAG